TAATAAATATTTATTGAAAAATATGATTTTGGTTATATAAAAAAAAACAAGTTAAAAGTAATAGTTTTTTGTTTATATATGAAAACAGAGGAAGTATATACTAATCATAATTATAAAACCATATTTTTTATAGCTACGTACTATCTAATACAACTGTAAAATTAATTAGTTTATTAATTTTGGGCACATTTAAGTCACGTATTATTTGAACGGATTCTAACTATTCTCTTTTTTAGTCTACTTGTACTTTCTCCCTCGCTCATACAAAAACTCCATTTTCCCCACAGGCCAGCTTGTAGATCAATTAATATGTGTCCATATTGGTAAAACATTGTGTTTCTTGGTTGCGTTAGATATTTAATCCCATTTAATTATTTTATATATTTTTGTTTAACTAACATATATAAATGCCATAATAAGTCCCATTTAACAAGTAGAATCAATGTGAAACACCATATAATACTCGATTATAATACAATACATTATAAACTTATCACTTGTATGGCGTCCCTAATATATAGTATAATTTTATATACTATGACTCTTATACATCTTGACACGGTCAAAATATATACAAAAAAAAGGAGGGAAGCAAAATATAAAAAATTATATTATTGTATATAGTTTTCTTTCCAAGTGAGGCCAGGCATATGCTTTTCCTCATTTGCACATGGCTCCGCCACGAATTAGATCACACATGATCAAAATATAGAATAGTATTATATCTTAAACAATACAAAATCTTATGCATTGTTACACCGAACATCGCTTAGTATTAAACTTTTATCAGGACTTGACTATTAGCTCCGCCACGGATTATATCACCCATCATCAAAATATAGAATAGTATTATATCTTAAACAATACAAAATCTTATGCATTGTTACACCAAACATCGCTTAGTATTAAACATTTATCAGGACTTAATCATCAATTAATCCAAAAAAGTGGTCGCTGTGAATATTAATTACACACACACTGTAAATTTTGGTGACTGAGCAACACGTGGATCGCGATGTGCCAACTATCTTCAACAGTTGAGTATCGAATAAATGAATAATTTAAACACATCTTGCGGATCCACATATAATGATATGTATCTTGATTAGAAAAATATAGCGAGCTAACAAAAGTTAATCTAGTTGATAAAAATTTGACTCATAATTTATAAAATTGTAGGTTCAAATAATCCCATGTCCAATATGAAGAATGATTTATAAATATCTTTATAAGTATTTTTTTTGAACTTAAAAGCGTCATTGGCCTTAGTGAACTTTTTAGCTAGATCCAACTTATCTTAACTTTTCAGTTATAAAAAAAAAAATATAATGATAAAATATTAAAGAATTGTTCGTTGAGTGAGAACTATATGCACTAGATATCACCCAAAGTAATAGATATTGCCTAAACAGAAGGCAGATAGAGAACTGTCATTATTTACGGAAGAGAGAGTGAGCGCAATTAGTGGAAGTAGCAGTGGCGGCTATAGTGCGTCTCACTTACTCAATTTGCATGCCTCTATTGTTAATTATCATGGAGGTTTAGTTTTTCTAACGTTTGAAAATTAAAGTTCACAATTACGTGCTAAAATAATTCTAATTAAAATGTCAACATTTTTCAATTACAAGTTGTCTAAGAGGAGGGTTTTACAACACAATGACGAATTCAAGGGGGCCAACAAGGATTGTGACCCCTTCATACTATAACATTTTGTTATAAGTAAGTAAAATTTTATTTATAAAAAATGTTAAAATTAATTTTAGCTTCCCCACTTTTAGATAAAATTTTAACAATGACCTTTCCATACAATGATTTCTGGATTTGTCCTTGACAGCACACATCAAATTAAAGAGCTTAATATATAACTTGCATGAATAGGAAAAAACTATAATATATATTCCATCTTGTGCTTATTAATACATATCATTTTAACCACCTCGAACATATTAAGCGAATGAGTTGAAATTAAAGTTGATAACATAATTAAATTTGTCAAAAAAAAAATCAGTACTTTTCATTATTACCTTTATCAATTATATTAATGGTGTGTTTGGATTAACAAAGATTTGGATTTGTATTCGTACCAAATTCTTCATTTTGGATAAATAAAAATTTATGAATATTTTAGATTTGGTTCAAATCTAAATCTATTTTAAATTATAATTCCTTCATAATTTTAAGTTCCTTTAGCATTCTAGTCATTTGAAATATTAATCATTTCAAACATATTATTCTCTTTGCATTTTCACTATTAATTATACATCCTTGACTCTCGTATTTTTTCTCATTTCTTGTCGATTAAAAAATAAAAATAAGTTCTTCATTTTTAACTTTTTTTCCATTTTGGATTTAAGTTTGCCTCTATTTTTCATTTAAAAATTTTTAAACTACCTAAACAAAATGATTTTAAATATATGAATTTTAAATGTGAGATTTAAAATGCCAGATTTAAAATTTAAAATCTAAATTCATCAATTTAAATGCTACCAAAATTTTTTACATCATATTATAATTAATGACCTATTAATTGTAGAGTTAGAACATAAACATATATATAACAAATATAATGCAATAGACATCTTTTCAATATAATGTGATTTACATTTGAAAACGAGAGATTGTTTTAAAATTTGACTGATATTAATATTAAGTACTCCATCTTAGTTACAATATATGACATCTTCTAAAAGCCTTGTGTTTGGTCTAATATATAAGAAATTAGGTACTTTCATATTTTTTTGTTCAACTATATACACCTACTTTTTTTTTTTTTGAAAACTCGATGCATATGAATTTCAATATTGTCATCATTAAGGCATTTTATATAAAATATTTAATAAAGATATAATTGAAAATATGTAAAGAAAATTAAGAGATTATAAGATTTTATATATAACTTTTTTAGAATCATGAAATGATTATTAATATGTCTTATATTATAATCTGAAGAGAGTATTGAAAAAAAAAAAGATCAAATCTATTTGTAGAGAGCTTTCCTTTCGGGTCAAAAGGAGAAGATGGTAGAATCATGGGTCATATGAGTCGAGAAAAAGTTTTCTTGCCAAAGAAAAATGGCGATCTTGGTTTTCAAAAAATGTGACTTATGGAATATGAAGGAGCAATAATTGGTAAGAAGATTTGGAATATTGCCTCGAAAGCTAATAACCTTTAGGACTTAATTAAAAGGGAAAGACCTTTTTTGGTCTTATCCACCCGCACAAGGGCAGGCTAGGACTTAATTATTATGTGAGGATAAGATTAAAAAATATATATACTATAAAATAATTTTTTAAATTTTAAAATTAAAAGTATATAATATCTATATAATACATCAAGAAAATTTAAGAATTAATTGGGAGGGCATGGCCCTGCTAGTCTCCCTCCCTCCACCCCTACTCATCCTACATTTACATATATAGAACTGATAATTTGAGTGAACCAAATTTATTTAGGTTGTATTTAATTTGATATAAATTTATTTAAATCAAGCTTCAAATACTTAAATATATAAAAAAAATTTCATACAACCAAGCTCAATTTTAATACCTCAAGCTTTAAAATAGCTTGAGGATATGATAATGACAAATTCTCTACTAAATCAAAATGGGAAGTATGCAATTAGTAATGGATATACATGAAAGGATATCAGACAAGATTGAGGTAGGCATGATAAAATTGTGTGGCTGAAATTCTTAGTCCCCCAAACACTCTTTTATTATGTGGTCAACGTTGCAAAATAGATTTATCACAAAAAGTACATTGAATTAACGTTGAATCTTAATATATATCCAAGTCGATGATTTCACTAGTAACCTTTATGGCCATGGAAGTGAATCTGCAAATAATTTATTTTTCCAATGTTAGTGGACTCAAGATTTACCCGTGGATATATATCTGCAATTGTTTATAATAGAAATACTTGTTTCAAACAAGTGTCATGTTTATAGCGCTAGAAATGGGAGGGAATGACCAGAGAAGAGAGGGAGAGAATAAATGGATGAAAAGTAGTGAAAGGACGCTGGCTACATTATTTTGGGCTCTTCAGGCGTGTGCACAATATTAGTTTCTAGATCTTGAATGAAACCAAAAGTTTTAATTACTTGTTAGAAATAACAAGTAAGCAACTCCTTTAAAATAGTAATGGAATGACATTATATATATCTTAATTTAAAATTTTAAAGTTTAAAATTATGAATCATTTTATTTTATTATATATTAATTATTGAGCTTAACATTTATACCGCATAAAAATTTTCACATGACTCAAATCCACCCTCACAGCTGGATAACTTGATAGCAGGTTTTGCTGCAGCAATAACATATCATTTATGTAAAGAGAGATAGCCCGTATTCATTGTAGGAATAAGTCTCCACAATGCAGATGATTCTCAGAGGATCAAAACAATATATAAAATAGGAATTAAGAGCCAGATGTCATAGTTGTACAGGTTAGAAACACAAAGTAAACTTAATGAAAAGAGTTTTTTTGCTAAGAATTGGTGTTGCGTTAATGATCACTTTATTAATTATAATTTGGCAACCACCCTTCCTAGAAGGTGACTTTTAACTGTTTCTCCATTTTTTTTAATACAATGTAAAGCCTAATGTTGAGGTAATATAATGAAATTCTTTATATTCCACCAAAGAAAAACATGCACATCTACCTCCAACCTCCAACTTAGCTTGCATTATTTTTGTGTCTAAAAGGTCAAACACTACTCGATGGCCAGCAATGAACATTGTGATCTAATGTGAATATTCCTCCCTCACAATCATTCCATCATTTCTCTGGTGCATGTTCATGGACCTACTAACTTTTTCATCCTAATCAAACCCACTCGTTTCAAATCACATGTAAATTAACCCGAAGCGATGTATACAGTACACTTCGTCAACCCCCAGACTTCTTCTCCTACAAAAACATACAGTATATATCTGCATAAATTTCCAGAGATTCCTTTAATACATGATGAACTAAACAAGAAAACAGTACACAGATCTGAGTCAACAGAACACCGAAACCTCTTATTTCAAGGGCCAGCAGAGCTACAAATCATCGAATATTATGTTGTTAATCTAATTCAACAAAAGTGTGTGCGAGTGTGTGTGTGTCCATTATTTAGCTTCAAGCCAGCAAGTATGCAACATAATTATTAGATTTGTCACAGCAATTACAAACCATGGACGAGACTCTCAAACAACAACTTTGACCCCTTAAACACTATAAGCTGTAGTTATAACTTACATAGTCATATCTCCATCTTCATAATCCAAATACCACATACTCACCACACAACTCTTTATTTACCCATCTCTCTCTCTCTCTCTCTCTCTCTCTCTCTCTCTCTATTTCTATATATCCTTAATTTGCATTGTAAGTGCTTCTCCTTCAAGTAGAAACTGAAAGCAAAAACAGCACACTTGATCTGAATTCACAGGGGATTTATGGCGAGCATTCGAGATGGGGTTAGAAGGTGATATGACGAGCTTGAACGCTTCATCACAAAAGCACAGCCCTGGCGGATTTCTTGATCTTCAGCGCCTTGGTCCATTTCCATCAGAACATCGAGGAATATATGAACATCGCAGGGAAGGATTAAAGGGCCTTGGCTGTTATATCCATACTCTGATTCTGCTTCTTCCAGCAAGATCTTGAAGAGAGGGTGGTTCGCAAACTCCGTCTTGATCACAAACCTCTGCCTCTCAGGCCCCACATAGACGGAAAAGCAACCTTCTGGAGCAACCTGTCGTTGACGGGATTTCTTGTTCTTCGTTGGCTTTTCTTCGATCACCTTGACGTCAAGGTTGGGCCATGATTTGTTTCTGCATAACGGACCCGCCACTGGGTCAATCGCCATGTATCGTTTATTTTTGCAGCCGCGTCCTATGGATTTGCATCGCTCCCATGTCTTGATGATCAGCCCTTTCTTTTCTTTTCCGTTTTTGGATTCCATCTTTGGAAAATGGAATATGTATGTGTGTGTGTGTGTGTGTGTGTGTGTGTGTGAATGAGATGAATACCTCAGAGAAGTCAAAGTCGCAGCAGATTTACCTGAAAAAAGAGAGAGGGAAGAAGAAGAAGAATTGAAGTAAATGAATCGAAAGGGAAAGTGTCAGCCCCTGTCGTAGACCAAACGAAACATGACTTTAGCACTGGGTCTCATTGTATTGTTCATATCTACAGAAACGGGAGGGAGAGTCATCAAGTGAAATATGAAGAAAACATTCGAATTTGATGAAGATGATGACGATGAATCCAAAATAGATGAAGTTAACTCATGGAGAAGCAGCAAAAGAGAAAGAGATCTATGAAGACGAAGAAGAAGAAGATGAACGTCAATGGAAGGAGTTGAGAAGAGAATGGGTTGGAGAACGCAGAGACTTGAAGGTTTTATATATATATATATATATATATATTTATATGTATAAATATAAATATAATATAATAATCAGAAGGGAAATCGCCACTTGGATTATATAGTACAGACTGTATTACTATAAAGACTGTTCTACCACCCACCATTCGCTTGTCAACGCCATAATTTTTCGCCTCTCACTATCATATGCCATTTTGCACCTTTATTTTTTTTTATAAACTTTACACCATTATTTTCAGCCGAAAAATTATATGTTTATCATTATATATGTAAAATGTTTGTTTCTAATTAATTAAGACATGTGAATATTTTATATATGACTTATTTCATAACAAATTCTAGTTATTAATATTATCAATGCACTAAAATTCACTCATCATGATTTAATTAGATAAAAATATATTAAGCATATAAGAATAAGTATATAAATTTTGTTCTTCAATTCATGGCTAGTTTTTTGCACTCAACTGCATTCTTCTTTTTTTTTTTTCACCCCCATATTTCTTCCTTTTTACCATTAATATAATTAATTCATATTTAATAATCAATATTAATTCTAAGATATGAAATTTACTGGCAACGATGGATAACATGTTTAATTTCGGATTTAGTATAATTTTCTGTTTTAATTTGACACATAGCAATTGATTTTAGAAAAATCAAGTTAGGTCTCAACTAGTTTGAGTGTTTATTTGGATTAAAAAAATCTGCAATTGAAGTTAGAAATTAACTAAGATTAGCAAACTAAAGTTGAAAAAAAAGTCTATAACTATAATGTGATTTAGGTTGGCTAAATTAAAATTTGTTTGGATGAATATATTCAAAAGCTAATTGAGATGTATAATGATAAAAATAGACATGAATTTTGTTATACATATTTTTGTGGCTGATTTAATATTTTTAGGAAAAAATATTAAGCTTGAAATTACAATTTTTAAAAAAGTATATTACAAATATAAAATACATTAATGAGTCAAAAATCTTAATTTTTAAAAGGTAGAATTAAATAATAAAATTCAAAATATTCAAAAAAAATTTTAATTCATATTATCTGCAGTTTGGTCTTAATTTGCAGACCTACAATCTAACATTATTATATTTTCTCTCTCTATTTAATTTTTACAGATAAGGTTATGTTAAATGGAGTGAATAATGACACAAGATTTTAATTTTTTTCTTCCTTTACTTTATCTTAATTCATAAATAATAATTAAATATAACATAATAAATAAAACACACACGATCATCCTGTTCTTTCTCAGATGCGTGCATCACACATACACACACTCAAAACATGCACATGGAGCACTTTCTTCTTCTTCTTCCTCCTCCTCCTCTTTTCCACAAACCAACGTCATCTCCCTCTACACTCTTTCCCCCCATATTCTTCTACCTCTCCCCACTACTAGCGTCATCTCCCTTTCCCACCAGCAGCACATCTATCGTCTCCCCCTATACCTCAACAAATGAAGGTAAGCAACAAAAACAGAGCATACATGATGACTAATAGCGAGCAACATAGTTGAAGAAAAAAAGGGGATGAAGCAATCTTGACAGAACCTACACGCCCTCAACTTCCTCGGATGGCGGCGGCGGCAAGCACAATGGGCAATCCGTGACAATGGCGAGAACAAGAAGGTGAAACAGAGCTTGTGAAGATGGGAGGCTGAGCAAACAGAGGATTAGCAATTTGGAATTGAAGATACGAGGCGAGAGAAAAGAATATGCAATATCCCAATGCTCCACCCAATGTTATGTTAAAAAGCTACTCTTCTCAGCTTCCATGAAAATGCCCATTCAGCCATTAACACTCAAAAGTTATTTTTTTTAATCCAAACAAAATTTTAATCTAAGTAAAGAGCTTTTAATCCTCTAATTAAGGTTTGAACCATCCTAATATCAGTTGGAAAGTTAATCCAAACACACTGAGTCAAGTCTGGCCAAATTATGTGTGTGTAAAGCTATTCTAACAGTTGAATAAAAAAAAAAAGCTTTTCTAATGGTAATTTTTCCATACATTAAACTTTAAACTTGATATATTTCTCAAAGAGAACACATGGAACTGTGTAAACTTTTTTTTTTTTGAAATATAAACTATTTTGCTTTGTTCCTTCAATTTTTCCATTGTATTTCACATTTGTAACACACACAAAATGATTATTTATAGTGTAACTATTTGAAAAAAAAACAAAAAGAAATTACCATAGATAGAAGTAAAATAATCAATTTAATATTCAAATCTCATCCCCCAAAAAAACACCAAAACAAAGAAATATTAAGAGATTATTCAACTACCTTAGTTTTTTTTTTAACTTTCAGTTTATCTCAAAATTTCATAGAATCTAAATATTTAAGAAAATATGAGTACAATCTTTGAGAAAATTATAAGTTTTTGTTTTTTTTATGTGCATTATTATGGGAAAAATGTTTAGTTAATTAGAAAACTCAGTATATTTGTACGAGAATATTCGAATTTGAAAGCAACATCATTTCAATAAATAGAATCAATAACATCTCACTAAAAGGTTGCGCTTGCCTATTTTAATATTAAGTGAATTTCGATTGCGATGGATAATTTTATTTATAACATTATCACATTTTTTTATCATTATTTCAACAAGAGTATTTAAACTTTAATTATTATCCATGATTTGCTTCACTCTTCCATGAATAGCTCCAAGTGTCTAGTGTATTTAATCCTTAATCATTGCGTGCCATTTTTTTAAAGATGAAATCTGATATTATATTAATGGAAAAGGTGAAAACATAATTAAGAAAATACTCAGATTACAAAAAATATATATAACATAATTTAGGTGTGTACGAGTATGTATAAGCATGTCAATTCATCACTTAGCCTAGATATAACTTAGTAAATAAACTATAAAGTATTAAAGAAAATGATAAGGAAAAACTGATGAAGAGTGAAGACGTAACAAGATGGGAGTTAATGCCAAGGAGTAATGCAGTCAAACACGTCCTCTAAATTAATGGGTCTAGTAAAAGAGTAAATTAATTCATAAACTATAAATTCAAGAATATTTAGATTCCTAAACTCACTTTTGATGTAATGTTTTATTTTAACTTTGAAAAACAGTACAGCCTAGCCATTTTTATTAACAAAAATTAACTTTAACTATTAGTTGATCAAAAATAATAAAAAATAATTTTAAAATTACAAAAAAGGACCAATAAATTTTTTTTGTCTTCTTCTGTAATTTTTCAGGTCATTTATTGTATTTTTTGTCATTTTTATAATTTTTAAAGTTAATTTTTTGATTAAATAATAATCAAAGTTAATTTTTATTAACAATAAGGATCAACTAATACTATTTTTAACAATTGAAGGAGAATATTACTTTAAAAATAAATTTAGAGCTTAGACGTTGTTAATTTTTCATTTAACCCTTTATCTTCTTGGTTGAAAGTTATTTAACCCTTTACCTTCTTGGTTGAAAGTTGTTGAGTGAGTGAGTGAGTGATTACTTTCGTGGCCTTAGTGGTGGAGAATGTAGCCTTGAACCGACCACTGCCTGTGATATGATGTTTGTTCTAACGACGAATCTTCCCTTATAGTCTGTAGACAATTTGCATATATTGAGAGTCATGAATATAATCTTCAACTATTTATATTGGGATCCAGCGAGGACAAAGAAAGCGTACACGTTGACAAAAACAAAAATTCAATTATCAACTAATAATAATAAAAAATTAAAAATATAATAAATATCATACTCACTCTATTTTAAATGTAAGCAAATTTTTAACTAATCCACACAATTTAAGAAAATTGATTACATATAATATTTATGTTTAAAATTAAAAAAATTGGACTAAATCACTCTTATAATTAATGAAACAAGTTTGTTTTGTAAAAATAAACTTTGATTTTATGAAGAGTAATTTGAGAAAAATATAAATGCTTCTTCAATTTTGCAATTTTGCTTGTGAAAAAAACAATGAGTCATGTACTTATCTATATTAATATTGTATACTTGCTGATATTTTTTCAATACATATATGTAAAGTATCATAATATGATTTTTTTAATTTAAAAATTTTTAATTTTCGATACATATTCAATACTTATAGATTGTAAGTTGATACTTCAAGAAAATTTTTAAGAAATTAAATTTTATTAAAGATTGCAATATTAAACTTTTTATTACTAATATCTTTTTGATTTGCTTTTAAAAATTAAAGATTAGATTTTTTTAAAAAAATAAGTTTTGGATGTAATAAAAGAATAAAAATTACATTTTTCTTAATTATAAAAATGTGGGGATGTAATCTTATGATTGTCAAGAAAGAGAAGATATTAATACTGTACCTATTAATATGAATTAGGTGATAGGAAACTATGTATAAATAGAATAAAAATATAAATAATAATTATGTTTTGCTTGGTATTTCAATCAAGAACTATATATATACACTAGTTTGGATAGTTTTTGAATTAAAATTGTATTTTTAATTTTTTTATTTTTCTATAAATATATATATACATATGAAAAACTTATCATATCATATATTTTTAAAAATAAAAATATTAGCATGTCATATCTGATACACACATCAATATCTGTGTGTTATAGAGTGTATAATATAATTTCTCCTATAATACAAAAACAGACAGAGTATATCTTGTAATTTCTTATTAATATTTTTTATTTGAAAAATTGCTAAAAACTACCCATCGATAATTTTTTGCTGAAAAGTCCCTGAAATTTGTTTAAGGACCTAGATACTTGCCAGAAATGAAGATTAACAATTAAATAATTAAATTGCCCTTATTTCACCCATGACATATGCAAGTGAACAGGTGGAAATAATAACTTGCATATGATTGAAGAGTTCTACATACGATTGGATTGAAGACTCATTGCACTCGTGGGAAAAACTTGTTTATGTGATATTTGCAAGTTATAATGGAAGAAATTTGCACACGTTTAAAGAGTTTTGCTATGATTGAAAATCTATTGTACCTGTGGAAGA